AGCTGTCATTTTGGCTATTTTGAAATTTAGATGGGTTATTTGTTCCCACTTGATTATGATCATTTTGTGACCCAATAGACGTGTTATGCATGAGTGAATTTTCACCTCAAGCTAAACGTGGCAAAATAATACGAATTCATTTTTGTTTCACGATTCGCTATCAGCTAATTACAATCGAAACAAAATGGTAATAAACTGTAAGTTTGGTGTAGATACTTCATGTCATAATATAGGAAACGTGCTCATCATTAAAAATGCATTAAAAGAGTAATAACTATGGAAGGACTATAAGGGATGTGGATATTTATAGGTTGAATACATGAATATTCTAGGATAAAATCGATTGGTATAGAAATGGAATTATTTAGAATTATAATAGTAATGTTATAGTTATTTAAACTTTGAAATAAAATGAAATTGACTAAATACAGAACAGTTTTGTGAAAAGGAAAAATTATGTATGAAATATTTTCACAAAGAGGTTTTGTGGAGATTTTTAAAAATTTTATGGTTGAATTCATGAGTCAATTAAAGCTAGACTACCATGGAAAACCTGAAAGCACTGAACGGCCACCTCGTCCTATTTTGGGACGCAGCAGTGCGCATCCACGATCCTACCTCGAGAGATTCGAACCCGAGACCTATCAGTATCGCACGCGAACGCCTAACCTCTAGACCACTGAGCCGGCATTCAGCAGTGGTAATGTCTTACTTCAACCAATCCACGAAATTGCACAACCGTCCTCTATTGTTTTCAGAGATTTACTACCTCACAGCTGACCCGGTTGAACTCCACTGGTCACTGCTTCTCACTAGAACTCCAGGGATCGGTTTGTATTCGAACTGGTCAGTTGGGTATTGCTGCATTCCAGAGTTGACTCGAACAGAGTACCTTTCTTTTCAAACTTCATACCGCTATCCACTTAACTACTGAGTACGTCGAGCCATTTGCCAAGAGATTGGAAAACTGAAATACTTTGTTCTTGCTTTAACTGGATCTAAATATAACCACATGTTCAAGAGTAAACAATATTATTTATGGTTTATAATATTTACATAATTCACCTGAAGCTTTAATATTCTTGAATTAATTTCACAAACTAAATTTATCAACTCAAAACCTAAACTTCAAACAGTATTGTATTAATATTCAAAATAAATTGATCAAGGCACGCAAACTATCAAACATCAGATTATCATTTCATCTTAGTTTACGATCATTCAATACCATAAGTTCACTTTTTCACATCGGATCAAACCTATCACATCATATTCTCACAACAAGTATTATTTATTTATCAGGCACTGAGTCAAAACTAGAATGATACAACTGTTCAGTACTTTTTAAAAAAAAGTTTTATTTAGCACTTCTCAAGTTGATATCAGCATTTAAGTCAGACAAATCATCTTCAGTTCTTTCACTTTGTATCTTCGCTTCAATGAACAGAAAACACATGAATAAGGCATCCATGGCAAAGTGTTACTCATCTATAATTATATATATATATATATATCAGTTATCAACATTTGATTTATAGCATTTCTGTTTTGTTTCCAAACACTAACATTTTCAACATCATTTGTAATTTATAGAAATGAATAAAGTTTTTGTTGTTATAGTGTTGGTATTTCTTTATACAATTCGATCCTAAATTGTAATCAGACAAATGAAAATATAGTGAGATTTTGATTGTATGCATTGAATAATCAAACTGATGTACGTTTTATCTACTCTTTAAAATAAAGTAGATAGGTGGTAGCATTTATTCATTGAATTATGACATTAATATATGAGTAATTTGAATTGATTAGGGAACTTGTATTTTGTACTGATGTGAAATATTTTCTAACGTGTTTCATGTTCAGATTACTTGTTTCACATCTCTAAATTCCTTTTTATTTATCAATCGAACGAAAAAAAGTTTGAACGAACAAGTTATGAAAAGATTCATTTTTTTTGCTAATCAATCTTCAAGTGATTTGTTATTTTTCCGAGTATAAAAAAATAAAGTTTTTTTCATCTTCAAAACGTATAGTTTGTTATTGATGTGGGGTTGTGGAGATTGTTAAGTTTTTGATTGAGATAATGAATCGATGAATGTTAGATCACTATTGAAAACCTGGAAGCACTGGTTGGCTGTTTCGTTCTGGTATGGTACTCGGCAACAGTGTGCGTCCACGAGCCTGCTCTCGGGATTCGAACCTAGGACCCATCAGTCTTGCGCACGAATGCTTCACAGCTAGACCGTTTAACCGGCATCTAACTCCAACCGATCCATGAAGTTGCGCGACCCTCTTTCAATGTCTGTCTCCGCCTGACATGGATTAAATCCACTGGTCACAGCTTCTCACTAGGACTTCAAGAATTTCCACACGAAGCTAGTTACTAGTGAGCGCATTGTGGAGAAAAGTTTCTACCTCAGACAAACGAAGATGTTCACGCAATCTCGTGGATTGGTTGAAGTTAGACATTATAAACCGTTGGATGCCGGCTCAGTGATATATTTTATTTACCAGAACGAAGTTTTTTGTGCATGTTAACACTACTTAAATGAGGATATTTTATAGAAATATACGCAATAGATTGTCCACAAGTACTTTCAGTTAGTAGCATAATCTCACCATGTTCCCTGTTCTAATAGACTAAATTTATAGATTAAGAAAAATCGTTTGTGCATTCTGTGTTAGAAAGCATAATGTAAGTTTTTTTCAATATATCCCGTGTAAAGCATAACGTGTCGAGTAAGACCTTTGAGTAGACTCAAAGGAAGTCAATAACTTGAACATGTTTTCCTGTTCATTTTCCTTATTATATTAGTTGATACTCATCACAGTTTTTTCAGTCATTTCACTGTGAAAACACTTCAATCTATCTAAATTAGATTAACGACAATTCTATGGTGACAAACTATATGAGTTCTAAGAGAAATATCCATCACCTCTATAGTTCTATTACATAGTCTCGTTATGACGTAATGATATATATTCAATGATTTGAATATTGATATTATGTGTGTCTACTATTTGGATCTTGATAGTCAATCACATCACTAGCGTGAAATGTGTTTTATTCCGTTAAAATTTACATTTAACTATTTGAATGTACTGAAAACACAAATTCATTTCCTTGTTCCCTATAAAGTAAGTTATACACCAATTAGATTTGGCATTCAAAATCATATATTTTCACAAAAACACACAAAATTACAAATATACGTTTTTCAATATTTATTAAAATTTAGTTAATATTTGAAGGAGAGAAAGAAAAATACTCAAATGATAAATGTCTCCATGGTTTACTTTTTATTTGTCACAGTGGCTATTGATTTGTTTTGTCACAAACTGTTCAAGTCATCAAATTATTCGTTTGCACACATACACAACATATTATTTATAAATTCAACATTTCAGGTGAATGTTTCGAATGCGCTGTAAAAAGCATACGTATATTATTACTATAAATGCATACACATACATGCTATCAATAAGCTAACACACACACACATATACAATCATATTCAAAAGTACATCTAAGCAACAATGTGAAAGAGAAGGAAAATGATGTGAATTATCATTAAAACTAATTTGTACTATGATCTTTTGGCATTTAGAAACAAAAATAATTGGAGCATATTACAATATATGATTAATTTTTATATCTACTAATTATAATTTCACATAACAATACTACTGATTACAACTTTTGCAAATCTTGCTACTAAAATACTATTATTTAATCATAAACTTTTAAACAAACAAAAGAACATGATGTATCATTCAAAATATATGATGGAAAACAATACTTCACAGAATTCTAGGAAAGAAAAAAAATATCGATTGCCTGTTTATTTTTTCTTACAATTAATTGTCATTCTCTTTTTTTTTTGAAAGCACAAACTTGTTTTTTAGAAAAAAAAGAAACTCAATCAGACAAACACGTTTTTTTCACTTGAAATAAAAGTTGAAATTAAAAAGAAAAAAATAGAGAAAGAAAATGAACGGAAACAACAACAAAATAATGAATGAAATTAATGAAGCATAAAATAAGGATTTTATTAGGTTGTTTTTTTTGGACTAGATTGTTTCTCTTTTTTTCTGTAATCAGTTTGAACAATCCAAATATTGCACATTGAATCATGAACGATGAACCATCATAAGACTTTTGGTTAAACTTATATCTTATTTATTAACCATTTTGATTAGATCAGTTAGTTAAATCACACAAATACATATACACACAAATGTGTACATCTATATATATTTAAACTCAACCAACGCACACTCGCACACATACACACACTAATCTATTAAGAATGTGTATTTTTGATTGAACAAAAACCTCAAATCCAGGGATAAACATCTTGAAAAAAAAACATTAAAAAAAGGTGTTCAAGTAACATTGTCATTTCTTCCAATTCATTAAACTGATTATTTTCAAAATATATCTTCCAAGTTAAAAAAAAGTTGATTGAAAAGTAAGTCGACTAAACAATATGTCAAAGAAAACAAAATGATAGAACTTGATTGTTTCCTTGGTTTCAAGGAATTACATATTCTCTAAAATATATATGTATATATCACTACCCATGTACGTATATGTAAACTGTCTTCTAAAAAAATTTTTTTGTCAACAGTTTTTCACAACAACTGTTAATTCATTACTAAAATAAGTTTTCTGTAATCATGTTTATATGAGTACAGTTATATGTAGGGTGAGGAGAATGGGAATTGGAAAATAACTCACCCAAATAAACACCAGAGTGAATGAATAGATATTGAATGCTAATGGAAAATATTTGTATGGAAAACAAAAACTGAACACTAGTAAGAAAAAGAAGGGATATCACTGACAAAAAATATTCATAAAATAGAAAAAAATGAACCCAACATAAAGGATATTATTTCGTCGTAAAATGTATCAGTTTTATATTGTTTATTTAGTCTGTTAACTAACTCAAGCATGATATATATATATATATATATATATATATATATATATACCATGAAACATACTAACATACGGTAATCAAGATCACGCATAAACAAACACAAACATACACAACCAACCACATTTATTCTTTGACCAATGTGATCAAATTATATTCATTGTATCTGTGACGCAATGTGTTGAAATGGGTTTTTTTGAACTTTGTTATTCTGGGTTTTTTTTCTGACGAAAGAAATATTTGTTTATTGTAACTCTGTGAACTTTTAAAAAAAATGGAGTTTTGTTTCGTATGAAAACGACAATAGCAACGACAACTTGTTATGCTTCTTTTGATTTCACATTGCTTTTCCATACATTATCACAAATATTTATATTGACTGGTAAATGTTTGATATTAATGGACTTGTAGTCCAGTTGGAAGCAGGCTGGATCACTAGATTGATTGGATAGAAACAAAGAGAGAAAGAGAGAAAGAAAGAATGGAAACGGATAAAGAAAATCGGTTGATAAATTTGAAAATTAAATGTTCAACTATTATGTTATATTCAAAACTTTCAGTCACTTTTTGTTCAATAATTAATTGACTGTTGAATCCATTTTCTTATTCTGTGCTACATAGTATTGTTGACAACATCAGTTTTAGATAAGCTCAAATACTTAAAGTGAAATATTTACCAAAAATTAAACTCCAATATTCATCACTCAGTGAGTGAGCACAAAGGATATTAAGTATGTATTGAAAATGTAACCACTAACCTCAGCCACTTTTAACTGAATGAAGTTGAATAAAAGTTAAGGAATTCATATATTCAAAATGCTGTGAAACAATTAATTGTTTTCCTACAGGATCATTATGATTTTATTACTGGATACGACATTAAAACTATGTATTGCAACCATGTTTAAGATGATTCTATTTGATGGAGTTTCATTTTGGAGCTTCGACAAAATCATCTACCAAATCTGTCTATCTTTTACCATTTCACAACGATTCTTCAATGAAAATCATTCCACTTGGAAAATTAGTATTAGTTTTTATTGAAAAACATGTGTGAGATAATTTGTCGTTTAAACTGTAGTACATTTAAGTGATCAAATCGAAAAACGTTTTCGCAGTTTTTTTAAAACGAGTTCAAGGTCACGTTTTGGGTAATACATCGTGTAATTGCAGATAATTTATAAAATATTTAACAGATAAACATAACGGAATAGAAGTGAACAATTGACAGAACCAATGATTAGATAAATCTTCAGATCAATGATCATAAATCTTTTCAAGTTTTAATTTGCTTTTAAGGAAACTACTATTCGATAATTCAAGGTTTTGTGAAACTCAGTATTAAGCAAACCTATGTCGTTGTCTGCAGCATTTTATGTAATACTAACATATATATATATATATATATATATATATATATATATATATATATATATAGATAGATAGATAGATAGATAGATAGATAGATAGATAGATAATATTTTTACCAACACAGCTATATCATGATGCATAAAATAATCTATTTTATAGAGTTTGTTGATTGATTATTAAGCCCTAATTATTCTTGTCGATTAACAGATAACACTCTAAAATGATAGAGAAGATAATTAATTTAGATGAATATGCTTGGGAGTACGATATTCTCAAAAGTGAACGGTTCTACATGAAGTAATAATTTTATTGAGATTGAAAGTGACAGTTTTACATTTGCCGAGGAAAGCTTTAAGTACGAAAACTTAGTAGCAAACAAACATCGTTATGAAATAATTCATATTTATTCACAACTGCGTTAGAAAATATTTGAACAGGTAGTCCCTTAGACATCTTCACAAGTGGAAATTTCATTAAAATTGTTCTGGTATATCAATTGGGAAAAAGTCAGGAAAACCCTGTTTGAATTCACTTTCGTTAATTGATTCTAGACACACCTATGATAGGACACTTTCAATGGTCACACTAATTACTTTATAAGCCGTTATATAATGGTTTATTTACTGTGAGAAGTTAACTTTGAACCACGTTACTTGTGTTATATTTTTTCATAAAGTATAAGGTATAGTGCTTTCATGATATAAACCAAGTACCCAAACGTATTTATATGGCTGCGTTATCTTAATAAAGGAATGTACAAAGATGTCCAGGAAATCGAAAATATTCATTGTAGATATGTTGTACGTTTGCTATGTATGTCTTATATAAATAAAACCATTTTAGATTCCGTAACCCTAAAACATAGACTAGGGCTATGTGCTCATTCAAACTTCAGATACGAGGTGGTATTTGGAGGTAGTCGAGATGAAACATTGAACCACAGATTCGTGCTAATTGTCATTCGTCAGAAAGGTGATTTCATTTTCGATGAGTCTAGAATGGTATAGAGTCTGTGTCGAGTCTCCCGCATAATACATCCAACGGCCACGTTACATCTCGATATAGTGCACATGATAACGAGCTACATTGCAATTTGTTCAGGAGGATTCGATTATCATTAATAGTGACTTAACATTCATAACATTAGTCATTGTTCAATGACCGGTCAATTTTAAGTATTCAAACTAATCTAACTTTCATAATGACTATTGTATAACATAGATTACTAATCGTCGTATTAAAAATCATTTCTGTCTCAAACAGTTTTTACGTCTTCCAGAGTGATTTAATGATATTAAAGTGACAAGCAACTTTATCGAAAACCTTCGTAGCAGCCACATTACTGAATTGTATTATGCAAAATTATATTAACTTTTAGATTCATTTACCAGCAAACTCCATTATTTCAATGAAGTGATTATCGATCAGTGACGTGAATTAATTAGTATAAGAAACGTTAATCATTGGATTTAGTTTAGTGATCTGAAGTAACTGATATACAGAGTAACTTGTAAATCCTGTGCTTCATTTCTGTCAACTGATCCATTAATGAGATACTATATTATGTAGCCGAATACCTCTTTATTATTTCATAGTTTTCGACGATAACTCAAATGATGTCAACCCATGACCAAAATTCTTGCTAGACACGACAAAGATTGCAAACAATTGACAAAATTTCATGAAACTTAATAGATTCTTATCAATCTGTTTCATATATGGTTCATATTATATATTCAAATTTATATTTAAAAAAAGAATGGATTACATTCAGAAATCTTGTTTATAATTAGACTCGTTTAAAAAAAAGCTATCCCAATCACCATATTGACACATACTACTGAATACTATAGATAGAAATCATAACACTAATTGAGCTCATATGGCTATTTTATTGATTATCTGTTTTGGTACCTTTCTAGAATAATAATTTAACAGTAATAGTTTGTTGTACTTATAAATTATTCAAGCATTTAAATAAACAAAAACGTTTCTCCACTGGTAACGGCTTCCCACTAGAACTTCAGGAGTATCTCTTGAAGTCAGTCACTAGTGAGCAGATGATTATTATCAGAAGGGGTTTGTGGAGATTTTAGAAATTTTCACAGATTGAAATCATGAGTCAGTTGAAGCTAGCCCACCATTGAAAACCTGGAAGCACTGGACGGCCGTTTCGTCCTAGTATGGGACTCCTCAGCAGTGCGCATCCACGATCCCGCACCACGCAGGGCTCGAACCCAGGACCTACTGGCTTCGCGCGCGAGCACTTAACCATTAGACCACTGAGCCGGCATCCAACGGTGTTATTGTCTAACTTCAACCAATCCACGAAGTTGCGCCACCATATACCATTGTCTTCATGATTTCAATCTGTGAAAATTTCTAAAAATCTCCATAAACCCCTTCTGATAATAATCATCTGCTCACTAGTGACTGACTTCAAGAGATACTCCTGGAGTTCTAGTGGGAAGCCGTTACCAGTGGAGTACAACCAGGTCTGTTGTGAGATATCAGCTCACTGAAGACAATGGTATATGGTGGCGCAACTTCGTGGATTGGTTGAAGTTAGACATTAACACCGTTGGATGCCGGCTCAGTGGTCTAATGGTTAAGTGCTCGCGCGCGAAGCCAGTAGGTCCTGGGTTCGAGCCCCGCGTGGTGCGGGATCGTGGATGCGCACTGCTGAGGAGTCCCATACTAGGACGAAACGGCCGTCCAGTGCTTGCAGGTTTTCAATGGTGGTCTAGCTTCAACTGACTCATGATTTCAATCTGTGAAAATTTCTAAAAATCTCCACAAACCCCTTCTGATAAAAACGTTTCTTTCAATGACTCAGATAAATGAGGTTGTAAAATTTCCTCTCTTTACTTTTTTTACGATTTAACCTAGACACTAGAAATGTTTATCGATACAATGGAATTTTTGTTGTTGTTGTTGTTGTTGTTGTTGCTGATTCATCATTTCTATAATTAGATTTTGTCTATCAGTTAAAATTTGATGTCTGGTCGATAAATTATTGGTATACACATATATGTACACCCTATAATCCTCGACTTTTAGTTTTGTTTCATCTAAACACATTATAAAACATAAATAACATGGTTTATTACTATTCTTCTCCTCTATATTTATGACATTAAATGGATCAATTGTATAAATGCCAAAGTTTTACACTTTTTTTTGCTTTTGACTAAAAGAAACAAACAACTATAAATTTAAGATTATGAATAAGCGGTAATGATTGAATAAATGATTATATTTGAATAATATATCAATTTGAATAAAGGAATATGGCTTACTTGGACCAATCATTGAAGGTGCAACAGGTGTATGCATAAGTGCTTGTGATAATGAATAATTGTCAATTGGTCTAGAGAAAGGCAATAAGGCAGTAACAGCTTGTGCTGCTGCTGCTGCGGCTACAGCAGTTGGTCCAGTTACTAAATTATGTTGAACAGGATTTTGACTATGTAAAATTCCATTAGGTAATTTTTGTTGTGACATAAAATTAGTCAACTGTATAGTTTGATTAGGAATTGGTAATAAACCTCGATTATTTTCGTTAGTAGATGTTAAATTATTTTGTCCAATAGAATTACGTAATAAAAAGTTGGAATTCTGTAAAGAATTCGATGCCCAAGCCGCACGTAATGCTAACATTAATGAATCAGAATTATTTAAACGATTTGTTACATCCCATGAGGTTAGATCAGTAGCTGGTCCCAAAACACCAGGATTTGATCGTAATTGATTTGAGTTAATGACATTATGATTAGATAGTTGATTATCATTAGGTAATAAACAGTCAGATTGTTTTCTTGTACGTGAATGTCGTGCAGTCTCTTCATTTCCATTCATTAATGACGTTGATGTCAATGATTCTGGTGGTTCACTATTACGTTTTGATGATCTTACTTTTGTAGTACTAGCCAAAAAAACATCAAAAGTAAAACAAAACAGAGTACTATAAAGACTGTTTATTAATTTCCTGCGTTCAATATTGTTTGTTCACTTTATACTCACAAATCAGCCTGAAAATCTCTTATGCTAGGGATTAATGGATACTTATTTAACTTTATTATTAGACAACTCAAAAAATTTCTCTTATAAATCTGTAAATTTCATAACTCACAAAGAACATAGTACTTTTCCAAACGACTGAATCGGAATATAGCTGTTCAAAGGTTTACCTTAATCAGTTTATCATAGAATGTATTTTCAGAATTGATTTAATTGTTCGTATATTTGATTTATTTAATTTGTATCTCCTTTACTTATGTAAAAATATACATTCTAAGCGATCATGAAATTGAACAGTCAACTATGTAACAGTTGTAGAAAATAAAAATTGAGAAATCTACCATCTAAAACTCCACACGACTGTTTTGTGGGGTTTTTTTTCACTCGATTTACTTTATTATGAATGAAAAAAAACTTTGGAAAATATATCATTTTTATAGCATTTATCTTTCTAGAAAAGATAAATTCGCTTTAATATAACCATGTTCAATGATCTATTAACAAATATGACGTTTTGATTATTATAAATTATATTGTGTGTATGTGTGTGCGTGAGCGAGCGAGCGCGCATCAGTAATTTTACGTGTATTATATGACACGTGTAAGTGAAGTTGTCATGGTTGATGTGTAAAATATAATTCAAGGATTCTGATTATTATGTGAAATGATTTCGTATTTCTTTCTTTTCATTTCATTTTCTACATTAATTTTGCTTTTGATATTATATTCCATTTTATATTGAATAACGAATGTATAAAATTATAGTATGTTAAATCTAAGATGTATTATAAATACTTCGTTTCAATATACGAAATCACTATATTATTGATAAACGAGATAGGAAATGAATTAAACTATGAATGTGATTGATGCATCAAAAATATAATTTGTTAGTAAAATTCGATGTGACTCGGATAGCTCAGTCGTAACGTCTCTGAATGTGAAGCTGGGTGACACGAGATCGAATCCGCCAGAGAGCACCAGTTCCCTCAAGATTACAGGTACACCTTGCTGACGAGTGCCAAGTAGCACGGAACCCGGGTCCAGGGTTTCCTGTCGACTACGTCCAACTACCATCTAATCTCAATATATAGTGCCCGCAGTGTCGAGTCACCTAGACTGTCGGCCACATTGCAACATGATCGATAGCATTTGATCTACACTAATAAGAACTAGACACGCATGACATTGATCGCCACCCAGTGATCAATCAATTGAGATGAAATTTATGATTTACAGTAATGGTGATTTATGTTAAGAAACAATTGTTTTTTTACTTCAGATAGATACTTTTGGTAGTGCTATGTTCGTAGGGCTTAATAGTTAATAGAAAAATCTTTCATCATCGTTCTGATTAGAATCATCAATACTTCCTTCAAAAGTAATGATAACCTATGCAGTATGAAATGTAGTTAGTGCCAGAAGCGGAACTTTAAAAAAAATTCCAGTTCAGTCATGAAATTCGTAGGCTTCGTTTTTATCAAACCAAGCAATATAAGTCTGTGAAATGCGGTGTAGTAATTGCAAGCTATATGCTGGTCAATTTGAACAATCTTGTACCCAAAAATCCACAATTTAGAAATAATCGTTTTCATGTGTTTTAAATTAACCAAATTATTATGTGGTTTTTATATTCTCTATAATAAATGGCTTACTTTGGTTGATCGTCTGATGGTTTTTGTCTATCAGCCAGTTTAACTTCTAATGGCCCTTTACCATTTTCTAATGTGATTTGTGCATTACGAATTCCATCAATTGCTCTCTGAGCATCTTCAGACCGAACAAAACGTACAAATCCAGCACCTAATTATGTGAAATGAAAACAATCCCAACATAATTATACAAAGATTATGAACATTGTGTGATTGATAGTTAAGAACCAAGGGGTTGTAGTACAAAGTCATATGTAAATATATTTGTTTAAAAAGAAATGAGTAAAAATAAACCCATGTGAAACTTGACGACTTAAAATAGCCATAACCGATTATAGTGCTGTAACCCTCTTTTAAATTCCAATTGTTTAAATTACATCAGCGGGACGGGTTATCCAAAGAGTAGCAGTGAAATTGATTGAATCCATAACCTAGTCATCAAACAAAATGGTAGTCATTTGGAACATCGGCTAAAAGTTCTTTTGTTTTTATCGATATATATTTATGCTTCTAGCTTATTAGTTACAACTATAGAAATTTTTTTTAAAGTTGAGCTATATTTTAGGTTTAAGTATGCATTACAATAAAGGTAAAATATGGAAATTGCTTGCAAAACTGATATCTCATACTGTCATGAGTAAATCAAAACTAAGAAGACATTAACAATAATTGAAGATAGTACTCATGTATAAATTATTATTTTGTTTAACGTCAGTCATTACATACTCATAGATCATAAACCACTAAAACAATAAAAACATACTGTTATTTAGAAAGATTCATAGTCAGGACTGAATTTGAACAGTCTTTGTTGATATATAGCTCCTTTGAAGGGACATTACGATAATGATTAGATTTACAACTTGGATACTGATTACTTGTGTAACTTAGATCTCACACTTTAATCTATTGACGATTTGATAGTTGTATATACCTATTTCATACCTGTAATGAAATACAAGTACCTCCAGCTAACAAGTCCTTAATCAGAAGAATGTCGTGATGCTATTTCAAATACACAAATATAATATGAGTCAAACTGAGAAAAAAAACCTATTCGTACCTGTACAGAAATTATTCGATCTCTTTGTCATTACAATCGCAGTTGCTATAGGTCCATAAGGTTGAAAGATTTGTTTCAAATCTTCAACATTAGATGCTGTCCACGATTCAGGAATATTGGTAATATAAACATTTTGTGGATCTTTTTCAGACTCCTAAAATGAATGGAAAAAGCAGAAGGAGACGGTGATCATCAAACAAATATTAAAAAACCAATAAATTGTTACTGACATATTTTAATATTTCAAGTGGTTACTTTTTCTTTGTTTTTCAATTTTTCGGTCTCAAAAAAGTTAAAACAGGGATCTATGTGGATGCTGTTGCATTTTCATAGATTACGTTACATAGTGATGTTGGTCAAACAACTTAAGTTCCTGAATTCGATCTCCATCGGGTTCGTGGATGTGCACCGTAAGGAGTCACATATTTTGACGAAGCAGTTATTTAAGGCTTTCCCATGTTCAACAGTCGTTTGGTTGGGATCGATACGTGGTTTATTCCAGAAAATAAAAATATTATTTACATGGATATAAACATTAGGGAATTTTGAGGAAAAACTCAGCAGAACAGTTGATTTAGGGAGAAATTTATATATTCATATTTATTTAATATATTTTACATAATGAATTTCATAGTTCATTTCGTCATTTCAGAATGCGTTTCTCTAGAGATGTGAGGGACATATCAACTTTAGACCTGTTAACATTTTTGTTAGATTACTGTTTGTTTCGTTTCATTATGTTAAACTAGGGATGATTGATCAAGCATACTATAAGTTTGATATCTTGAAATAATTAATTCATTTTGCCAGATTCTAACTAGTCATCTGTCTGCATATATTTGTATAAAATTGGAATGTTAGGCAAATGTCAATTTGGTTTTTCTATAGATCTTGTCAGACTGTCATTTTCTGGTGAACCTTTGAAAATCAATCAAAATTCGGTAGTAGTTATCACCGATATCTTTATGGTATCTCAACAGATTGTATAGCTCAAAGTTTATAAGAATACTATCGATGATAACTATGTTATTTCAACTTGGCTAAATACCACCGATCTAACTAAAACATTGAGAAACTACAAAACGTCAGGAATTACAAGTTAATTGATAAGAAGTAACATTAAATTTCACAATATCCATGATGCCGCTATTTTAAGAATATCAGTCCTTTTAATGGTATTCAAATGCATGATTACCTTGAAAATTCTGAAACATATGGATTATAAAGTGTACAAATACCACTGAGTAATCTAAAATAAACAATAACATTTGTACTAACCATTGTGATGATTTTATTTTATTATTATATCCATCTCTCAAATACAATCCATTTATCATTAAGTTGGTTTTAATGTAAAAACGTAAACGAATACAAACTGAATATTTCAAATGAAAACTACAATGTAATTTTGGTTTCTTTTCTCCTAATCTGAAACTCGTAAACAGATTATTGTATCTTGAATCATATTAATTGCTAAGTTTTGAGTGTATTTCTAAGGTACAACATTATTAACACAAGCTTAAAAGATAAAAAAAATGATTTGTTCAAATCTCTATATAGCTTAGCTGTACATCACGTAGACGCGTGATGAGTTTGTTTTATTTGAACTGATCTACATAGTAACTAGATGAATTTTCACTTGTTTCTAAGTATTTTCTTTTGTATCAGTTAATAAAATAATACTGAAAGCTTTAGTTTACGTTAAGATCAGCTGTTTGATAATTTAGGTAGAAAATAACTTTGGGAAGTATTAATGTCTTACGAAGATCAAGATTTCAATTATGATTATGTACAGATTATAGTATCCGTTTTATTATCGGGAAGAGAGGGAAAAACAAACAAGATATTATTCATGGATAAGCAAATAAAATAATAATTAGAATGAATAAACAAGGAAATGAGTGCATGAACAAGAAGAGGGAGGAAACAGAAACATGAAAAAAACAACAAAACAGATTAATTGCAATAAATCAAATTATGTAAATGCGTATGAAGACATGTGACTAAAATTGATCAGATTGTTAACAATTCTTTCTTGCGAAGGTATCCATTCCCCCTCCCTTTCTTTCCTGTTGTATATATATATATATCATGTAATTCATCTTAGGAAATATTATATGAAATGTACAAGTAGACAGGGCTATGAAGTAGCTACTAAATGAATAATCCCATAGCTTACAGAATTCATGCCATAATTTTCATATTATGAATATTCATGAAATATTCTATCCTTATTCTTAAATAAGTTTTTCAGTAATGAATAAGATGAAGTTGTTTCCTTTAAATAAGATAATCTGAATATAGATTTTATGTAATTTATTCTCTTTGAATGTATCCTCACACTAAAAAAAAATTAACCTTCTGCATGTAAACATACAAGCTCAATTGTTCTAATTGTCAATTATCCTTTCTCATTTGTTTTTGGTTATGATGAATCATTGAAATTCGAGTGTATTTTTTTGTTGTTTATTGTACTGATAACTTATTCTAACCAGTTATAAATGAAAATGATTAAAATAAAGTTCAGTCAGTTCATCTTTGGGTGAACTAGCTTTGAAAAGTTTTGCTTCAGTTTTATTTTATTATTATTTTTTTGATTGCCTATTAAATTAATCATGTTAACTTGGATGTTTATCATAGAATTAACTCGAACTTTAGAGACTATTTAGTTCTTGAAGTTGTTGAATGTATTCAACATTACTAATTTCAATGCGTAGCTTGAAAGCAATTACTTAACCGTAATCCTTTTGGACACTTAAGTTGACTACGTACAAGAACAAGTGAAAATCAGATTAATCAATACATGAAATCATCATTTCGGTGAACTAAGTTTTATTTTGTCAGTTTACTTTGAATTTAATGACTTTGAAGAAACTATTAAATCAATAGTTCAGATGTTCATATCAAATGTAAAAAATGGTCTATTTTATAAATTTTTGAACCTATTTGTAATCCAGTCTTCTTTTAAGTCGTTTTTATATTGATCACTGATATTTGATATTGATTACTATCATGGGATTGTATTAGACTATAGAAAGTGGTTCCTCAACATTATACTTTATTGAATTCTGATACATATATGCAATCATAATTTGACGATTAAGATGTTCTACTTTGATAATAAGCTAATTTGTACAGGTTAAAATTTATGTGATTTCAAATGCCAAGATATCCGTTAAATCTTACAGATATGGTTAGACTGAAGGTAAAATGTGGTATTATTTATAATAAATGAAAATAGGAAAGAGATTTACAACACTGAATTCACTGAAAACTACAATTATTAATCAACAACTATATTACCGAATGTTATTCCCTTTCTTACACATGGGTTTATTTCTATTTTGTACGGTTAAAAAAAACAACCATAAAATTCACCACATTACATTTTAGTGTATAATTTTTCAACACTCAAGCACACATACTAATCATCTTAATGTCACAATAAATATCATTAACTGTTTGGAAAATTTGTTTAAACCCTATAAACAGACATTCTGATCCTGCTAGTTTGTAGTTCATTTGTATGATATATAGAAGAAGAAAATACCTATAAGGTTTCATCAGATCTAAAAGATTATTAGTCATTTTAAAGGATTAAAAAAAATATTTCATCTTGATAATATTATTGACGATACTTTAATTTATTGACGAACCAATCACGTATAAGATAACAGGTCTCGAGTTTCGGCGCAAAATGCATTCAACCCTTTGGCTAAATGGAGTTTTGTCATTATAACTGATGTAAGTTCGTAATAAAAACCCACAACCTAATTTCTAACCTTAATCAATAATTGTAAATTATAATTTTAATTCCTCACATAGGTTTAAAACCCTCATTTGGTCCTGGTTATAAGGTGGATACTCTCAAGGTCAGTCTAGCGTCGCTCAAAGGTCGTCCATAAATTATAGTCTCACAATATTATTTTCTAGAAAATAAGTTGACAATATGAAATTCCAGTGAAATAATTCACGTAAATATATTACTTGGTATCAAATGAATAGTTATGCTTAGGTAAATAATGTAAAACAAAAAGTATCCCTTTACGTTTAAAGCAACCTTTTAATTTGATAAAATATAAATACAAATAATTTATTAGAAGGGGTTTTTGTGGATATTATAGTAATTTCAATAGTTGAGATCGTGAGTCAATTGAAGCCAGGACACTATGGAAAACCTGGGAGCACTGGATGGCCGGTTCTACCTATTGTGGGACTCTTCAGCAAGGCACATCCACGACCCTGCCACGTGAGACTCGGACCCAGAATCTTTAGACCAGCTTCAATTGACTCATGGTCTCAACAACTGAAATTACTATATTTTCCACAAAAACCTTTACTGATTACTAATCAGCATATGCTCACTAGTGACTTGCTTCAAGAGGTATTTCATGGAGTTTTGGTGAGCAGTGACCAGTGTTGTACAACCAGGTCTGTTGTGAGGTAGTAAGTCACTGATGACAATGGTGGATGTATCGCTCAATTTCATGGATTAGTTGGAGTTAGACGTAATACCATTGGATGTCGGCTCAGTGGTCTAGAGGTTGTGCTTTCGCGCGAAACCGGTAAGTCCTGGGTTTGAAATCTCGTGGATGCTCACTGCTGAGGAGTCACACAATAGAACGAAACGGCTTTCAGGTTTTTCATGGTGGTCTAACTTTAATTGACTCATGATCTCAACAAATAATTTACTTGGAAAAAAACGAACCATATGTAATCTTAAACAAATCAACTTACATAAGCAAAATTTACATATAATTCACGATTTCCTGATTTAATATGCAACAAAGCAGATTTAGCCGCTTCATTATTCACAAAGTCAATAAATCCGTACACTGAATATACAAGAAAAAATAAATAAATTTAATCGAATTTACAAATAATAAAATAAAGCGTATAAAGGAAGCGTTGGCTTATAAATATTTTTTGGAATTGACAAAACTGTTTTCATTGCTGTCACAATGATCTTTACTATTATTCTTAGAGTTTTATGATACGATGATACAACAGTACAAATCATATGTATTAGCCAATCGAATAGTGTTACTGTTTTACAAATTAATATTTTCATGAGAATATCATTTGACATGAAACGTTTACAAGACTACTATGAAATTGAGGTTGGCGCTATTTTAGCAAGATTTTTGTCTACGCAAGATATTCAATATCCGTTGACCGGATACCATCAGCATCAGCCTATTGTGGGAGATGACAAACCAGCTTCCAAATGAACAGACAATTAGGAAAAGACGTTAGAAGTGGATAGGACACATATTACGAAAATCACCAAACTGCATCACGAGTCAAGCGCTAACTTGGAATCCTGAAGGGAAACGGAAAAGAGGAAGGCCGACGAGCACACTACGTCGTGAGTTGGAAGCAGACATGAAAAGAATGAATGGGAACTGGAAAGAACTGAAAAGGAGTGTCCAAGACGGAGTTAGATGGAGACTTTTGGTGGATGGTATATGGTTCTCCACGAGGAGTAAGAGTCATATGTATGTAGGTAATTATGAAGTTGAAGGCTCTTTTCATGCAAAAACATATAAAGTATTAGCTTCAAGTAGTCATCATCGCATTGGAGTAAATAGCTGAACAACGTATAATATTATACGTTATGAACCTATGTAATACTATGTAATATGTTTTAAAATGTGCTGGAAGTTCACACTATTTATGTTTAATATTTTTCAACTGATGATATTAATAGAATGATTAACATAACTCTTTTGGGTTTAAACACAATATTCTGTACATATGTACAAAAACAACTAGAATAGTCTTGATATCCTCTCATTTGAAACTAATACACAGATCTTCATTTTATTTGCATTAGGATAGAACTTAGAATTAGATAATCACTCGAGATTGTGATTCAAAATTCAACGAGTATTCTACTCAATGCAAAACAATATAATAACCGCAAATGGATAGAAAAGTATGAAACGCATTTTCCGGCATAAAATTGTCATTAGAGATTGGAATTGAAAAATGTCGATTTACTTGTAAGCTGATCAATTTCAACCATCAAAATGTAATAAAATAATTCGAACTGATTTCGTAATACATCAGTTAAATCTGTCAAATTCACAATGTTGTTTATATTAAAAAGAAACCTTTCACTTAAAATGTTTCAATGCTTTATGACAGTGAAATGTTCTTAAATAATTTGGATTTTGATCGAATAACATCATTCAAATCATTAGTTTCGAAGAGTTTCTACTCTCAGTTAATGAAACGTATTAATTAGTTGCTTAATTTTACATGAAAGGTTCATATTTTTAATGTTAAATTTCTGGTTTATTTTTTTCAAAAAATAATGTGTAAACTAACAGGTACTGTTTAGAGCTTTGACAAAAACAATATTCATATTGTCTTACTTTCGCCTTCAGCTCCAGCAATTAACTTCACTGATCGTATCAATTTTCGATCTGGTGCTAAAGTATGCAACTCTTCTTCTGTAAATGAAGTTGGTAATCCACGAATATAAAGATTTGTTTTAGATGCATGCTATATGCAAAAAGAAAACAAAAAATTCCAAAACATTTATTTATGTTTAACAATATTACAATAATGGATGTTAAGTTTTTGATTGAGATCATAAAACGATTGATGTTAGACAACCATTGAAAACCTGGAAGCACTGGACGGCTGTTTTTTCCTATAATGAAACTTCTCAACAGACTGCATCCACGATCGTGGATGGTGATCTAGCATCAATCGATTCAAGATCTCAATCAAAAACCTAACAATCTTTACAACCCCATACTGATAACAGATGTTAAATTGTGACATTAAAATTTGACAAATAGAAATACTAGTGTATAAAATTTAGCAATGACATCAATGAGATGGATTTGACAAAGTACTTTGGTAATGTAACTTGAAAAGTTGGGCATCTGATGATGACCATACAGATGAAATTTTCTTGAAATGCTGAATTTTAGAATTCAACATAGTGTAAACAAACTACTTGAAATTGTTTAATCTAATTAGGAAATTTTTTTACATTTAAACGGTTGAAAGCGCTTTTCTTTTCGTTGATGTCTGCCGCTATTTATATTTCATTGAGGGTAACTTAATTAACAATGGCTTTTTAGACAAAACAAATATGTTAAACTTTAAATCTATGTTGGAATATCTATAAACATTGTATATAGTGTTAAATAGGAAATAAAATGACTAAGTGAAACAATATAATAAAACAAATATGTTCTTGAACATCGGTTTTAATTGTAAACAACAGTTGGAACCAATATATCATTCACTACTAATCATTACAACAGATATGACCTTGAAATTTATCATATCTGTATGCATTTATGTTTTCTTATTTATCATGTAACAAAATCATATACACTTTCTATGGATTAACCGTTATCATTTATCCACTCAATAGTCCCCTTATAGCTTATATCTGTCTGATGTGATAATCAATACATGCAGCATTATGTTACATTAACTGGTAGACTTCCCACTTAAACAATCATCTGCTTTATGCATAAACTAGTAAGTTCTTTTAAGAAAACAGAGAAGACTTTGAATGCAAGCTAACAACTGTAATACTCTTACAATCGTCACGTAATGATTAGTATTTACGTATATTATTATTTGTCCATGAAATAATCGTTAGTGGTCAATACTGGAATCATTAGGACGACTAATACTTTGTATGAAGCCGATTATTAGGATGGATCCATATTACAATGAGTGTTTGTACTTGAAAGTGATTTCTTATTAAAATTCCAAAATGTATCCTGAATCATAGTCATTATCAAATACGTAAGGAATAGTTACTTGCAAAAAAGTTGAAACATAGAAACCGATCATCCAAACGTTTCACAAAATCACAAGAAGAAAATATTTGAATGACTACTAAACATTAGCTTATACTGATAAACTAGTTGTACGAATGATTAACTTATTGAATGAGTAAAAAATCAATTTGGTATTTGATTAATTCTACATATATAAGTTAAATCTAAAATTGTTTCATTGTTGAAAATCTTAACAGGTAACTACATCATATGGTTTATTTCTAAATTATTACTTGTTATGATCACCTTTTGCTTAGTGAATGTTACAAGAAAATGCTTATCCTATAATACTTCTAATCAAATCAATACAAGTAATGAATAAGTGAATCATAATAAATAAACTTACTTTTTTCTGACGATTAGCAACTGTCTGATTATTTAATGTATTGTTATAATCATCCAAAAATGTGGACATTAAACCTTTACCGGAATATTTTGAATGATTATTACTGGAATTAATTAATTTTCCAGAAGTCATACCTGAACGTGTTGATTTAGCATTACCTAATAAACTTGGTAGATCATTAGTAAAACGACGTAATTTAAATTGATCTGTAGAGCGATTCATAAGTGAACAAATATTAGATTGATTATTCTTTTGTTTAGATGAATTATTACGATTACTATTATCATCTGAACTAGATGTAGAATTGAAATTTTGATTAGAATAAATATTTGATATTAATGGTTGAATTAATCCAACTGAAGGTAAAGGAAATGGACATGATGGATGTAAAATTACACCTTGATTCGATGGCATCACTAAAGAATTAGTGGAAGAGTTTTGAAGTTGTTGAATTCCTGTTTGATTATCTAAGGTAATTTGACCAGGTACCCATTGATGAAATCCATTAAGAAATGAAGGTTGTATAGGCACTGAATAACTCGATATAAGATCACGACATTGATTATTATCAGTATTTTTAAGAATAGTACTATAATTTGGACCTGAATACAGTTGCTCTGGAACTTCATAACTAGAAACACAACTTGTAGTACGAATGGTGGAAGAATTATTACAACAATTGGTACTACCGTTATTTCCATTCACTTGTGGAGTAATAAATGTTGATGGACTACTATATGCTGTCTCATTTGATACAGTTGTTGTGCCAAGGCGACCAACAGTAGTAGGAAAAATTAATGCATTACTTGGAAGTGCAAATAACTGCCCTTCATTGTTATAGAAATAAAAGAATGTAGTAGGAGCCGTTAAATATGAGTCTGGATTTGGAATGTAATTAGCTGTTAGTCCTGTGGTAGTTGTCGTTGTTGCTGTTGTTGCTGTCGACACTGCTTCTATTTTTACTGCTGATGAGACTGTTCCACTTCGACCAGTATTCATAATATCTTCGTTAGACACTTGCGATGTATCAATTTGTATTGGATTAGTAATTATTGAAATTGGTTGTCCCGATGAATTGGTTATATTCATAAGCATCACTTCTGGATTCGATTCTGTTGATGCATACTTAATCGAACCTAATTTATCGGAATTACTATCTGAATTCAAATAGCCTGTGGTTGACTGAATTCTATTAGTTTTACTATTACTATTACAACTATTACTTCCTTTGTAAATAGACATAGTAGAACCATTTACGAATTTAGACTGTACATCGTTAGAAGTTAAATCTTTAGCTGAACTTGGACGATTTTCAAAATTATCACTATTTATCGCATCCTCTGGTGCTAAAGAATTCAATTTTGTCATTGAACGAGATATAGGATTGGATACGATTTTGTTTACATTGTTAGTATGAATTTGACTATTGGATAGTTTAGAATCACGTTTCGAATGATTAATTTCATCATCTAAACAAATAAAGTGGATCAAGCAAATCAAATTATCCTAGTGAGACAGAATATGTAATCTAATTAAAATTCGTCATCAGGTTAAATACATCTAGATTGAAGAAAAAACAGTGGAGTGGTTAATATGTTCTATATCTTTTTCTAGGCCTCGACAGATCAATGGAAAAGTACACTAGAGTTCATGCAAAAAGAAACATAAGTAGCCAATTCAAAATACGTTTTGTGCTGAATATTGTCGTAATGACATTAAAGTCGTGAAAATACTTTTCATTTCAAGGATGATATATATTATGAACTGAATTCAGCTAAGGAATCAGTGAAAGCCAGAAGTCAATGAACACTTGCTTAATTTTCCAAAATGAATATTTACTAATCTTCCACGGATTGAATCTACAAACACTAACGTAACACACCCTATTATCTTTTTTTCGAAATCTCTGTAACAGTAGTATTTCGTGATTGAATTTTTGACTGTATCAAACAAGTTTCTACTAGGAAAAGTAAATTTTATTCTATTACACTGATTTAATGTCTAAGAGCTTCATCTTCAGTTCACAATAATACGCTATGTGTAAGCGACATTAAAGATGTTTTCAGACAATAAAAATTAATGTATTATTAACATAGTTGAAGATTTATGACATGAATTATGTCAGTTTTCTTACAGATACCATTATAAGATATAGATCAGCATAACCAGAAACTTGTTAATCATAACTGTAGAAATGTTGATCATTTCTGAGATCAACTATAGTATCTGTATATAAATAAGTCGTATTGTTTCCCTTATTTCACATGTGTTTATTTACTAATCTTAATTATTCTTTTCAACAGATTATTTTATTATCTTTAATTAAAATCATGTAAACGATAGCTGACCAGTGAAGCCGTCGATACGATTGTGTTTTTTTCTCGAAATGGTGAAATTTATCATGTATGGGAATGTTTTTCAACTTGTAAAGTAATTCTCGTATTAAATGTGGTTAAAGTTTATTAGTACTACTGATTTTCTAGTACCTAAGGATTGATTTGGTTTTAAATGACAATCTTTTACTTTTCTAATTAATACAAACCATATATCACCTAAGGTGTTTTTAGCAAAAAAATAAATACTTTTATTAATATAAAATTGCAAATTAATAAGGCTGGAAGTAATGCTTCCTGTCTAAGCTCACAATTAATGTTCCCTTACATATCCTGATACTTTAATAAGCTAGAATAATAATGGATGGTGGCTTGCAGTGGAATCCAGGACGAGCATTCCGTTCTATTTGGTACTCTTTCGTTGAATGTACCTGCATCTCAGAGTTGATAGTTACTACAGGACTAGATTGATCGTATTTAATTTAATTATCTATAAGTAAAACACTGCGAGCACATTACAGCCGCCGATAGGTTTTTATAACTTCCTAGGTCAGCTAGCTGCAAATGATGCCACTGAGCGAAAGTGTACTTTATTGTGAACATTTAATGGGTCTTTTATCCTGCCTAAGTAGTCTTTTGCCTTTTTTGTTTGAATAATGGAACGAATTAGGTAAATCTTTTTAATATTATGGATTGTAAGTGTTTATGACTCACTAATAGGGCGATTTATTAAATTACTCTATAACTTCTGTTCATTACCACCATTACTGTATGCGGTAATGAACTGATGTATATGTAGTGTCGGTTGATAAGTTAAGCTCACATAGTTTATTCTGGATTCCGGACAAACCAGTTTATTCATTCTTCGTAAGTCACATTTTAACCTCGTCAATTATTTGCTTATCAACGTTGACTATTCATATGTAAACGAATGTGTGTGCATTTCCTATCTTACATTATCACATATATGTGACTATAAATATCGATTAACACTTGATTAAATAGAGTTGGCTTACACACCTTCTCCATTGCACGCCATTTGGCTTTGCTCTATTCTGTTTGCTTTATTCCTCTGATTGTCTGTTCAAATCAATCAGTGCACAAAATATACGTATTCAAAACTTCATTCTCGTATCTGATTTATTTAATACCGTCATTCGTTAACGTGATTTAAGTCGATAATTATATACGAGTATAGCAAGGATGCATACTTCAGTAGAAATCATTCAGTAAAAATCATTTGTTCAATCTAACTGGAGTTAGATAGAGGGCCATTAAATATACATAATATTTTCACACATAATCATTCGCTAGTCAGAACATCTGAAAAACAAACCAATTACCTTGCATTGTTCTTCAGTATTCAGACTTTAGAAGATAAAAGATTTTAAAATAGAAGTACTGGACTATAACACATACACAAATTATATACAAATTAATGTTTACAGAAACTAGATAGTTGCGATACAAAACTGAATAACAAGTTGATGACAAATTTACAAGAATATGTGAATGGTGTAAGATTTATTAATAGTTGATGAGTTCAATAAAAGCTTAAAAATAACACAGTATAAATGCATCATACACAACGTCTTTAGTAAATAAGACATAAAATACATATTTATACCGATTTACCAGTGAATAACTTTCAAAGTTTCATATTTTCACTATCCTATCAGCTTATATATTACATATGAACTAAACAAAACGATTTCTTATTAAAACATAAAATCAAACTAGTAACAAATCAAAGATGGATAGTGGCTGGCAGTAGTATCCAGGACACGCGTTTCGTCCTATTTGGGACTCGTCAGCTGGAGGTACCTGCATCTCAGAGTTGATGTTCACTCCAGGATTCGAACTCAGTACCGTTCGCTTCAAACGCCATCGCCATCTGCTTGTGAAGTGAAATGAAGTTTAAATGCACTTGGTGTTGTTTTGCTTGTATCTTCCCATCGTTAATTAGGACTGCAATTGATCAGTCTCTTGTTAGCATATGTTTGAAGTGAATGGTACTGGGACCGAATCCCAGAGTGAACATCAACTCCGAGATGCAGGTACATCAAAATGGCGAGCCCCGAATAGGACGAAACCCGCATCCTAGATTCATTTTAATGCTAGCCACTATCCATCTCTGCTTATAAAGCTTGTGACTTAACACTATATCAAGGCAATCCGCACAGGATGCACATATACCAATATAGACTGATCAATTGCAGTCCTAAATAACAATAGGAAGATACACATAAAACAATATCAAGTGAATTTATTAACAAATCAATTCATTATAAAATGTCTATATTCTATAGATAAGTACTTCACCAAACAACAACTAATTAAATAATTGAGAAAATAACGGTTATAAAATTTTTAGTTCAACTAACTTATACTACTATATTTCAATCATTTAAAAACATTTTGATTATTTCAATCTTATATAAACTAGCTTTTGGATAATTTTTAAAAAAAAAGATTTAACAGTTGAATATGTCACATTAATTTAATAATATAGATTCAATGCTTAATCACGTGATGCTTTTCTTCTCAGTAACAAAATATTTATGTCAAAAATCACCACAGGATTTATGTCATATGGTTTATTTATTCCTTTTTTTTACTTAAAGGTACATATTATATAATATTGAATAATAAATAGAATAAATCTGTTTACCGAAAAGAACAAGCAAACAAACAAACTACTTTTGACATTCAATAATTTTCGTAAATTGTTTTTTTGTTTGTTTTTTAGTTTTTTTTAAAATTGGGAAATTTTTTTAGTGTTAAACAAAAAGTTATGTAAACTTTTTTTTTTTTTTCATAATTAATTTTATTGAAGCCTTTTAATTATTGTTTAATAAATAGCTAATCCGTGTCGGGTAGAAACAGATGTCTACCTCAGTACAATGGAAGATGGTCGCGCAGATTCGTGGATTGATTGTGGTTAGACATTAACACCAACGGATGCCGGTTCAGTGGTTCAGTAGGTTAGGCGTTCGTGCGCGAGACTGAAGGCCCTGGGTTCGAATCCCGCGAGGTGGGATCGTGGATGCGCATTGCTGAGTAGTCCCACAATAGGACGAAACGCCCGTCCAGTGCTTCCAGGTTTTCAATGGTGGTCTAACATCAATCGGTTCATGATCTCAATCAAAAACTTAACAAACTCCAAAAACACTATACTGAAAATGGGAAATAGTAGGAAATATAGTTAAATTTAAAAAAAGGGTTTTAATGTTTTATTCTAAATAGCTATTAGATGATGATAAGAAAAAATAGTTTTTTTATTTATTTTTTGTAATTTAAATTCGAAATTGTTTTCAATACGCATATCATTTAGCACTTAGAAAGTAGGTTTAGATTTGTTAGTTCCATTATATTTAGTGGTGAATTGTACTGATTTTAGTAGTGGTCATTATGTTGGATAAATATATAAGTTTATGATGAATGAACGATTTATTAGTTTGGGTTATAGACATTAGTTTCATTTAAGTATGGTTCTCTTCTTAGATTAACAGCACCTATGGGACCATTGTATATGATGAAGTACTCGATAAGTCATGTTTTGATAACATATTCTCCTCCAGTAATGTTCACACGTGATCCTGGCATAATATATCATTGAGAACTTATAATTCTAGCGATGAACCCATAATTTTCTGATAATACTTATCGATTTAATGATCTACACCTACAGCTGCAAATATGTGGCATCATAATATGACGGTTAACGCATGACTTTAGTAAGTAACAGCTCTAGTAGTTCAAGTGTTGTAATTCAACATTCATGAGATTATTGTCTCTGTAAGCTGAATAATATTGGTTTAGTAAAAAGTCGACTACCTAAATATGTTTAAAGTATATATCTTTTATGGAAAGTCTATAGTATGATTGTACTGATTGTACGAATACAAACACAAAATGTAACAAACTTTCCTGGATTGGCTATTTTGCAAATTATACAAACTGCCAGGTCTACACACTAAACATTATTTTATTTTTTATTAGGAATCATCACAGTATTTAGAAACTGTGAGGATTGTTTTGGTTTGTACATCTCAGTAACAGAATCAGGAAGTATGAAGTATGTTTACGAAGCAGATAATTGATTTAATATTCAATCAAATGATAGAGAATAAGTT